AAACAATCTTGTCATTTGGCAATGTGGAGAATGAAATCATTTTTACACATTATGCAGCATTTTCTCAGACTGGACAGTATATCCAATAGCTTCTTCGCCATGAATTAACAGATTAAAAAAAATTATTTCGTACCTTAAAAAACTGCACGACTACTTTAGTTCTCTGATATCACTCCATGCAATTTTTTGGTTGTGAAATTACTTAAAGGAAAATAATTATTTTGAGGTGTCTCAAACTGGCAGCCTTAAAGGATGATAAAGCCCGAATTTTGAGGAATATCTACCCTGACATTAATGTTGAGAATGCTAGGCATGGTATCTAACTTAGTATATGCGACAGGTAACTTGGTATATCTACCCTGATATTAATGTTGATTAATGTTGAGAATGCTAGGCATGGTAACATACAGTTAGGCAATAATAAGTGAATAGCAAACACTTCTGGAATAACTCACAATGAATTAGCGATCAACATTTCATTCTTGTATTTGGTTGTAACGAAAGTTTTCCGCCAAAAAACGTTCTTAATAAAGTTAGAAAAAAAAGCATGAAAGCAGTACTTTTAATGCACGTAGTAAGCACCACTCAAATCTATGATTTTCTGCCAAAGTTTTGGCAGTTTTTCAAAGACTTCGCCCCAAAAACTTGGTGACCACAAGTCCAAAAACAGATCAATGCCATTTTGGATGTCCTGTGCATAATGGAAGATAACACCAGTAAGATGTAAGGTGTGAAAAAAAGGAGAAGTCTGAATTAGCGATGTCGGACTATATAGTGGTTGCGGCAAAAGATCCCATTCGAGTCTGTACACAGTTCAGCCAGTGAATGCAGACACATGTAGTCTTGCATTATCTTGATGGAACATTACCTTTTTATGCCAGAACTCAGTTTGGTGTTTTTCCTTGAGCATCAACACAGACCGGTATCTTGCTGTACATCTTGCTGTACACCTTGCTGTACACTGAGGGTTTTACCTTTTTTCAGATACTCTTTGTGGATAATACCACAGCAATCTTACCAGATACAAAATGTGATCTTTTTATTAGTTAAATTACACTTTGTGATGCTGCCAACAGGCTCACCGAGCACAGAGCAACCCCTTTTTCGGACTGTTTTGTTAAAGTAAATCCACTTTTCACCGCAAGTAATGATATGGTCCAGAATTTTGTCCTTGTATTGATATTTAAGCAGATTACTGAAGGCTCAAACACGTCTGGAGTCAGCTCATGCGGTGCCCAGCGACTGAACTTGTATGACCAAGTTTATGTAATGCATAGCGTGACTAATGAACATGGCAGTGAAGTCGAACTCCTTAACAAGCTCTCAAGTGGTTACATACTGGTATTCTTCCACAGGCAGTCCTCTCAGGCCTGGTTAACGTATATATGGCAATCATTAGTTCACAGTGTCATAACATACAACATTAGTTTATTAGTAATAATTCTGGATTTGTTGACAATCTGTAACTAACTTTTTGCAACAAAACTGGAAGTAAAATGAAGGTTCTAATCTGCTAGCGTGATAGTTCCATTTCAGAAACCTTCCACTTAATGATAATAACACTTTTTTACAAATTTCTCAACACAGTGTTCTAAAGCAAGGCTCTTTCTTTCAAAGACCAAAAGGCGTTTGACAAAATATGATTAAACATGCTGATACGAACAGTTTGTACAGACTATATTTGCAGTGGCGGGAAAACTTTCATTAAAACCCAATATTATTATTAGTATTGTACAGTGCAAAGAAAAACACATTTAATGCAGTATTTTTGTTCATTGACCATTTTCATGTTTTTACATTGTGCATAACTATATTGTCCCCTATCAGCACACCACCACCGTGTGATTATGCTTTTCACGTCTCAGTTTCTCTCTTCACCAAAACTTGTAATAATAGTTTGAAAAACTTTAAATAAAAGACTCACACTTTGAAGTCTGATAATAACACAATAAACTTTTTTAACTATACAAAAAATACCTGTAAATTTTATGTTTTAATTAGTACTCTTTTTGCAATTAATTTTTAAAATGTATCAATGATTTTAGGATTATCCTATATTAATAATAGTTTCTAGCATCAAATACTTACTCCATAATAATTTATTCAATGTAATTTTACTATATGATTGAACTAAACATTTCATTTTTACACTAAATTATACACTCATTTTATGAGTTTTTGAAATTAATCCTTCTATATTTCTTCACATAAATAACAAATGCATATGTATAATATCTAATTAAATATGCAATAAAATCTAATTAAACTTACTTTAGGATTTGCTTGATCAAATGGATTAATAGTCTCTGCCTGTAAAATCATTTAAAAAGTTACATATATGGTAGCACTCATAATATAACCTAAAAATAACAGTGAAAAAAAATGAAATACCAAGATATTAAAGTTATGCTGCTAAAAAGTTCAATACAGGAATCTATTTCTCAGATGCAACTGATATATAAATATAATCTTGTATTGTATGAAATGGTGAAATGAAAAACAATACAAACTCAAAAAATTTGACATCATCATTAACATGAAGCTGGCTTGAAAACTTAAACAGCATATGTTAGTCAAAGAATACTTCCTAAGATTATATCAGTATAGTAGCTGATAAATTCATTACACTGGGGAATAGCAGCATTGTTGTCTTAGATCTGTCACTTGTTTTTGACTAACTTTTGGCCTTTGAATCCAAAAATAATCTCAGTTTTTGTCTATCATATCAACTTTTTAAGCTGCAGGATACCCTCTATTTACCTCAGAAGTCATACAAATATGAGTATAAAGGAAAACGGGGAAAACTTAACAAATACACTGTTCACAAAGAAGAGTTTTATTCATACAAAGGCTACTGTTCACAAAGAAGAGTTTTATTCATACAAAGGCTATATACAGTTACTGCAAATTAAATTTTGTTCATACAAATAGTAAAATTTTTCTAACAGATGGTAAACATATTAAAGTAAAAAATTTTAACTTATGGCTTTTTCTGGAGTTTGTGGATATTCTCGCTTGATACCCAACAATAGTCAACCACCACATGTACACTGCACACAAAAAAAGGGGGCAGTTCTATATCTCCCATTCTACTGGCCTATTGACAAAATCCAAATTCCATTTTCCATGTCTCTTGAGCGCAATTCAGGATAAAATCAGACTCTTTCTGAAATAACATACCAACTTTTTTTTCAATATTTCGATTTTACGACACAAATTGTGCCTAGATATTAAATTTTGTACTTTTTGGTGAGAAATTTATGGAAAAATTTTAAATTTTATATTGGTGCAATTTTTTCAGTTTGTGCAAAGATTGGCAATTTTGGCAAACTTCTTAATTTATAGCAACCTATTTTCATTTGCCTTTTTTCTTTGTACATGAGCTGGGGGAAAAGTCATCATTCATACTTTCAAATAATTTTAACAAAATGCATAAACCACATTTTCCACTTATAATGCCAAATTTCAAAACACTCCAATATGTAAATTCACGCATATGTTAGGAAATTTTACATAAATAAACTATAACTTTTTGCAGGTATGCTTAGAAATACATCTATTTTAAGATGACATTAAAAATTTTACAGGTTATAATTCAAATTTTTTTGAAAAATTTATAAAAATTATTTAAAAATACAAATTTTTTAAATAAATTACAAAAGGACGATTTATTTGGATGAACCTAAATTTCAAAATAGGAACGAAGAACAAATAGTTAATAGAAAAGAGATTAATAATTATATCAATTCAACTGAGGAGCTAAAATTTTGGAGCTAATATGTTAAACTACTATGTGATTTTTACAAAACTTGGCAGTTTGGTATACTTTGAGTCATAGAATCGGAATATGGAAAAAAATTGGCATGTCATTTCAGAAAAAGTCCGATTTTGTGTCAAAATACTTATATTAGAACAATGCTATATATAAATCCAATACATATCCCAAGTTGCGCTTTCGAGACATGAAAAACGTTAAGTTGAATTTCGTCAATCAACCCAGTAGAACGGGAGATACAGAACAGTCCCCCTTTTATTTTTGCAGTGTACATTTCATCTACTTTGATACCGTACATCCATGTGAAATCACTCAACCTGCACATCAATGACTGCATCAAGATTTTTCGGGAATTTATCAAGACGGCTATGTAAAAAATGCCATTTCACACTCCTGTTGTAACTAAGAATTTTGAAGTTCTCCAAAAGTTGCAGGAAAATTTTGCTGTAATTCTGCGCTCATGTATGTTGAAGAAAATCTTTGAGAATATTTTTGAATGCTAATCAAGCATTCTTTTGAAGTTCTGTCATTGTCCCAATGAATGTTCATCTTTGAGAAACTGGAGAATTTGTGGGTCATCAAACACACCAAACTTTATCTTTGCAAATGACATGATTGAAATGAGATTCTTGAAACAGTCTCCTTTAACTGGCAAAGCTGTAACAAATTGCTTCATAAGATCCAGTTTTATAGGCAGAGGCGAAAATATTAAGTTCATTCTGTCGATAAGTGGCTGATGTAGAATGTTTGGATCACCAGGTTTCAAGTCAGATCCTGGCTGCCAATTCGACTCCATCCAATACTTCTCATGAACTCTGCTGTCCCCCACACACAAAAGGATACTTAATATATATATGCATAACTGGCCAAAGAGGAAGCAGACCATTTTAAGATTAACACAGATGATCTATTGGTGTATGCGATATTGCAACACATCAGTGAGCCTTTTTATGTCTTCATATTTTTCACACAAACTGAATGGTCTACTGAGACTGCTGCAAACAAATTTCCATTGTGGAGGAAATACGAGGCACGTCCAGAAAGTAAGTTCCGTTTCAATTTATCTCCGCTGCAGCTCTGCGATCGCAGTTCCGCACATCGGGCAGTATACCGCTGCTCTGATCAAGGAGAAAATGCGCGCCATTTGGAGATCGTTGTCAGTCATAGGCACTTTGTTTATGCTTGTTTACAATGTCCTGTGTTGATTGAAAAATCCGCCGCTTGTGAAATCAGATCTGTGATTCCGTTTCTGAATGCGAGGCAAGTGAAACCTAGTGAAATTATCGGCAATTTGCGATGTTACACCAAAAGCGATGATGATTATGTGAGAAGATGGTCCGAAAGTTCATGACGGACGTAGTGATGTGCCGATAAGAACGAAGTGGATGTCCATCTTTGGTTACAGAAGACTGGTTCACGCGATTGATGACAAGATCCATGAAAACGAGGTTACAATAGTCTTCGCTAGGAATCCCCATTTTAACGACACAATAGGGTTGCCACTCAACAGGAAATGAAATTCCCTGACTTTTCAGGTTTTCCAGGTGTGTTTCAAGAATTCAGTCTATCCGCATAAGGTTGTTTGGCTGTGCTAATAGGTAATTAGTATGGTATTACTTATGTGTAGCAAATTCCTTAATTATTCAATAAATCCCAGAGGAATTATTCTTATTATTCTTGTATACTTTGATAATTTTGTTTATTTCCTAAGAAACTTATAAATTTAAGAATAACATTGTAACCAATGTATGTGTATTTAATTAATATCCTGATCATCACCAGTTCATACGAGGCTATCCGGTCGTTATAAATCCCACGCAATGCTAATATTAGGTTGATTTTAGGTAAATTAATTTGCGTGAGGTATGTTCTAAAGGCCCTTACACTTGAAACACAATATAATTATAATAGTTTTTGTTTTCTCACTGAAGATTGGATCAGAATCTTCCAATCTGGAATAAAATAAGGTTTTTTTTGTTTGCTACAATTCTGCAGCTAACGAAAGAAGAAATCTATTTTATATTAAGTTTCGCATCATACATCGGAGCAAATATGTGCAGTAATTTCGTGATGTATGTCATCATACTGCTATAATTAATTCAGGATTATGCCGAGACTTTCCTGAATTGGAATATATTTACTATAATATAAAGTTAGAGGACGACGCAATATTCAGTTATAGATAAATAAAATAATTACTTCAAAATTGAATTATAAGATCACGATAGTTTAGCGATTAGTTATATTACATGGCTAGCCTGATGACTGATTACTCTTTTTTTTTATACTTACTGCAAAATGGCAAGGTATTATTAAGGAAAAAAAAAAGGTGAAAAGATTTGCGGTAAATCTGGATACGGTAAGGCTTTGCACGATTGTGAAATTTCGACAACACAAATGAGCGTTACTGCTCACATGATGTTGCTAAATCTTTTTTCTAACCAAGACTCTATGTACGAAGAAAGGTTCCATACACGTAAAATGCTATTACGCCGCTAAATCGGAGGAAAATTTGCCAAGATTGGCGACGGAACCTGGCGGCCAGATTCCCCTCCGCGATGTTACAGAAAATTGAGAAACACGTGTTAAGAAAACTCTCTTTGACAAAACGAACACTAGAATATCCGCTTTTTAATTATTGCAAATCCAAAGAAACGTTTAGCAAAGGGCGTTTCTTCTTGATTTTCGCAATAATTTTCAAACGGATTTTCGTAAGTTTTTTTTTTTTTTTTCCTAAATAACTAATCCATGAATTAGTTACTTGCCCAAAAAATATTTTCTCTTCCTTAGAGTTTAACCACTTGCGCTAAGACTAAACTTCCACGTTGCGGGCCTGCCTAAATATAACAAGCGTTAAGTGTCCTCATTTGCGCCCGCACCTGCGAGTGCATCCAGGCGTAACTCGAGAATAAAATCTCGTTGTAGGCGAGTGTGCACCACTTATTTCATTTTGCGATAATGCTTATCGACGTGGAGTTCACGTCGCTCGCGGTTTGAGACAAAGCATCTCGATCTGCGTGCGTGGCCGGCTTTCTAGCGCAGTGGTAAGAATGTTAAACGATTTCATTTTATGAACTCTTATACGTGACCTTCGAACTCCACACCGTTCGCGCTTGGCGACAGATATTCAGATATGCACAGCTGTTTTCCTTTATGATGGAACGGAGCCACAGCCCACATCTGTTGCAGGAGTTTTTCCTCTTTACAATACTATTTCTTTTATTCTAACCTTATGGTACCGCATACTAGGATTAAACCCATTTTGTTTATACGAGAACAGGTACTTTCTTTAATTCATGCACGCACATGCGATTCTCGAGAATACTGGAAACCAAAACTTGCGGGAAAAGTTTCTTTGCCTTCTAAAAGAATCAAATTGGAGCTGCGAAATTGGCTCTATGCCAGCTACCCGAATGACACTCACTGATCATAATCTCAAAAAGTTATCTCTTCCGATGTCCGGCGCAAAAATCGCTTTTTTTGGCGGGATCGTTGTATGAACTTCCCTGACTTTTCCAGATTTTGAAAAAAATACTTAAATTCCCTGACTTTTCCCTGAATATTTTGGTCAATTTTCGAATTCCCAGACTTTTCCCGGTTCTCCTGGTTTTCCAGGTAGCGTGGCAACCTGACTAATGCATGAAATTGTTACCGAAAAACTTTCGTAAACTTTTTTCACGTTGGGTACCAAAGATTCTTACCGAGCAACACAAAACAAAACGGATGGGTAGTGCACTTCAGTTTTTGACCCGTTATGCTGAAAGCGGCGAAGAAGTTCTGACACAGATAGTCACAGGAGATGAAACTTGCGTTTCTTACAACACCCCTGAAAGTAAGCGGAAATCAATGGAATGGAGGCACACTTCATCCCCAGCAAAGGTTAAGCCGAAGCAAATCTTGACACCTCGAAAAATGATGTGCACAGTGTTCTGGGACTGGAAAGGCATCTTACTCATTGATTTCTTACCGCGTGGTCAAACAATCAGAGCAGATGCTTATTGCGAGACACTTCGGAAATTGCACCGTGCAATACGCGCCGAGGATTGCTGTCAAAAGGTGTTGTTTTTCTTCATGACAATGCACGACCACACACTGCAAATGTGACGAAAAACCTCCTACAGGGATTTGGCTGGGACGTGTTTGACCATCCTCCGTACAGCCCTGACCTCGCTACTAGAGACTTTCATCTGTTCTTACATCTTAAGTCTTTCCTTGGCGGTCAACACTTGAACAATGACGACAAGCTGAAAGAAACTGTTTCCAACTGGTTGAAGACACAGGCGGCAAATTTCTATGAAGAAGGTATACAAAAACTTGTGCCACGCTATGACAAATGCCTGCAATATTTCGGCAGTTATGTGGAAAAGTAATTTAAGAGTTGTTGAATTTTGTGCAATAAATAACTTTTCTGTAGCTGTACACAATTTACTTTTATTACCAAACGGAACTTATTTTCTGGACGTACATTGTACTTCAAGCTCTGCTTTGAGTTCTTGATGAATATTTGCCAATGAGTAGCATTATAGGCTAAAATTCGCAACTCTTCCTTTAAACGATGGACATTATGGCAATACACAAATCCATCTTCAGTACTGCAGAAACACTTTCTCTAGATCAAAACTGCCTTAGCTTCTTTTTCAAGGAATTTTTTTTTTGTTTGTTTTTTGGATAGTCCCAAATCTCATGTCAAATCATTCAATTCCTGCTGGTCAAATCGCTTACAAACAGAATCATTTTCAGTTTCTTCATCATTGGGGGTCAAAATCATATTCTTGTATTTCCAAACAAGGTAATTCTTTAAAAACTGGTACTGAAAGTTCAGCTGAGCAAGGCACTGGGCATATAGCTGATGGTAATCTAGGATACTCTATTTTACATTTGTTTTTCTTGTTATATCCTGACTTTTTCACTATACAAATGTAAAAATCACTTGGGTGATCTTTAGGCTCTCACAAAATCATGGGCACACCAAATGAAATCTTAGAATGTGTCCTGTTCATTCCTATTTGTAAACTCTTGACACACTGCTTGCGCACTTAGTGAGGAGCCCATCTTGATCCCCAATTTCCACTTTCAAATAGGCAAAACAGACTTGCCTGACAAATGTTTTGATGTTTGTCCTTTGGAACTGTAAAACTGCCATATATATAACAAAATGAATTGAGGCTGTTTGAACAATTATGACATAAACTAGCAGAGGCAGACATAAGAAAAAATTTCAGTTCATATATAAATAAAAACTAAACAATGCTAACCTTGTATGCAAACATGAATTAGGATTCAACGTTGGAATGTGCTTCACTATATCAGTGTGACACACTAAGTCTCACTACAGTATCTCATGCATAATTGAACTAGTCTAGACATGTATGCACATGTTGCTAGTGTCTTATGGTTTCATTCTCCTGGCACCAATCAGAGGATTTATGCCAACTAATAGAAGAGAAGTAGTACTTCCTATGATCCACGCTTGATAAAAGCTGTCACATTTACATAAGGTGTAGAGTAAAAACTTGAATTGGTAGAAGAAAACTAACTATGCTTTTGAAACCAGCATGTCTATTTAAAACAGCTCAAAAATGTAACTCAAGAGAAACAGTGTTGCAAACTGTTCCCCAGTGTTATCAAATAATATGCAGTAGAAGATGAAAACTTGAGAAGGGGGGCACATAAAATATTAGTAATTGTATAATTTACCAAGAAAAAATATAGACCACTGTTAGGTAACTATATGAACATTTTCAAAATTGACCATAAGAAACTAATTTTAAAGCAAAAGAAGTACAATGACTTACATTTTTCAGTTGAGTTACTTTTCACAGTTATTCTGATAAATGTATACCCATCACATCTAATTGTGCAAAATTGACAATCACTACACAACAATACTATATGTACACATTACATAAGTGTTAGATAATGCGATATGAAAAATGTCTTGTTTGAGGGGAGTCATTTTTGAGGTACACATTGGATAAATCCAACACGTTCAGAAATTTGCCAACTATGCCAAAAATAACATAATAATAACTCATATAGGTATAAAAGGAGATGAGTACATTCACAATGGTCACTGCAATGCAAAATGGAAGGGGGACAGAAGCTGAATTATAATTACTTATAATTATTTCTTATGTTTAAAACACTCCTGTAGTCTGCTAGAATATATAAATGGGATAAGTTTTAAACAGGAATAAAAATCTAAGACAGTGGACTAACAATTTCAGTCAGACATCATATTAAAACTCTTCCGTTGTCCGATGTGAACATTATTGCTAGTAGCAAACAGAGAGCATGTGTGGATTTGAAGAATATAATGTGAATAACAGTATCTAATAAAATTCTCAAAGTGAAGCTTTATAGTGAAGTTTAATGGCTTTAGGCCGTTTTTTATGATTTCGATTTAGCTGCACTGTTGGCACTATGGTATGGGAATTCACTACCATAATCTTGGGCCTCAGTTTGATATGAATAGAAATTCAGTTTCAGAACCTGTCTAAATTCACAGATGTGAGATTTCATAGTGAGTACACAAATATATAAGTTTATATATATATCTAAAAAAAAGTAAATAAATAAGGCATCTTAAATTACATGAAAAATTAAAGTGTTAACATGTGAATAAAATATATAAATATGTATGAAATGCATTCAAAAATTAATTTCAGTACTTATGCTTTATTTATCTCATCAACCATGAAACTGTCACCAAGTTGACTAGCAAGATTTACTGCTAGTTACGGATAAGCACAGCTTAACAATGCATTTGTAACACCTGCTCTTTTGTTCGGTGTAACTACAAATTCTCGATAAGCCATGTTGTTTTTGGAACAAATTGATAGCTGTATTTCTGTTTTTTTGTAAACAAGGACACAAATTGATAGCTGTTTTTTCTGGCATTTTGGAAAAATAAGAGTAAAATTCAGTACCTTTCTACTACAGATCATAAGCAGAAATTATTACTTTCAATATTATGTGATCCAACCATCAAAAAAATGACACGATATGATCAGCTAAATATGGCCAACACAATAATAGAGTGGAATAATTACCTGCAAGAAGTTTGAACTCGTAGTTTTCTAACAGAATTTCAGGTAAAATCGAAGGGTCTAACAAAATAGTGGAAATTGACAAAAGCCTTTTTATGAAGTGCATGTTTCTTCAGGTTGTTTTTTTTAAGACTGCAGAAAAAACTTGCCAATCCTGATTTGTAAGAATACAGTGTCGTTGTGTCCACATAAAATACTGCCCATGGCATACCACTACTGATCCAAGCTGAAAGGTTTGTGATAGAAGAGAGATATAGAAGACCATCAGATCTGTCTTTTAGGATGGAACTACTCACTTTTTATGCATGTAGACCAGTTTTCCCTTTCCCCTTGGGATAAATCAGATAGTGGTAGGATTGGAGCCATAATAAAATAATAATAAAATTTGCAAATCTAGGTTAAACGAAGCAAAGTTTAAATTACCTCTTGAATCACAGACTTTAATCGCAGAAGAAGTGTTTTAACTCCATTTAAATCTTGACACAATAATCTATAAGATGAGGAATCTAGTTTTAAACTTCCATCATCTGCTTCAGAAATGCTCATCTGGCGAGGAGGTCTCAAAGGAAGGCTGACAGTTCTATGTCGCCACTCTAGTCGTTCAGCACTACTCGAAAAAGGGCCTGAAGATCTGCGTTGCAGTCGCTTCCTAAATCACACAAAAATACATTATAAGTAGTTTAGTATAGAATTTTTTTTATTATTTATGCAATTTCAATATGCAATTCAGTTATAACCCATAAGTCACTGCAAGCAATGTACAATGTCAAAAACGTGAATCGGATTGGCGGATTTCTAACGTTTGCTCAGAACCTTTTTGGCATTGTTTACTATTGCTATAGAATGCCATCGAAGCTTAACATTTTAATTAATTAAAATACACCTTGATTAATATAAAATGCAATTTATATATGAGACCAAAAGGTTAAAAGAAGAAATCACGTATACTGCTGAACGGTTTTAAATCAAATGTTTTCTGGCTGTTAAAATTTCAAACTTTTTTTTGCTTTTTGAAAAAAAATGAATAAAGCGACAAATTAATATTTTATTTACATTAATTATAAACATTTTAATTTTGATTATAAACCTTTCAGTAATTATATTACAATTAATTCATGCATTAAAATTGTTTTGAACGTGTTTTACGAAGATTTTAAATAAAAGATTGTAATTTATGTTTACATTATTAGCCAAATGAATAGCACTAGGTTTTATTTTATATATATATTTATTGGAATTCAGATAAAATTTTTAAGAAATTTGGAATGATTTAATGACAATTTAGACAGTTTATATTCTTTAAAGTGTGTTTTCTTAGTTTGCACTTTTTCGATAAATCCTTTTATTTAATGTCCTAAAACTTGTATAGATATGGCCAAAATTAATTAATATTTTTACCACTCATTTAAAATTATACACCTTATAGAAACAACGATGGGTTTTGCAAAATACTGAAAAGAAAATTTATTTGAAGTGAAAATATGAATGAGATCATATTTGTTTAAAAGATTTTACATAAAAATATGTTTTTATTTTTCCTTGGAAACTAATTCATTAATTGCAAAATCGATCCTTAACATTATTAAGAACTCTCTAATAAATACAATAAGAAAATTTGGGGAAAAACATTGAAAACTGTGGGAGAAGAATGACATTTTAATTGTTAAGCTTTTCTTCAAAAAATTTTAATTAAAAAAAAATTACTGGCCAAAAAAAAGTATTTAAAAAAATCTGAAACATTTTAGATTTTAAATTACATCCAAAGAGGCCTTTCTTTTTAACATTTTGTGTGTTACCTTTATTTATTAAATATCATGTTCTAGGTATTCAAACCATAAAATTCAGTTCAACAGCAATATCGCAAAATAATTTTAAAATGAGCATATCTTTAGAATTTCCAATACAGTCTTGTGCGCTGGAGATAATTCCCCCCTCCCTCCATTCAACACAAACATTTTGTGCTTTTAACACAAAATGGCAAAACGAAATTAAAGTTCCTCAGGGCAAATTGACCCTTTGCACTAATTTTTTTTTTCAGTTTATAATCATCTTGTCTAACAAAACCATTTAATAACATTCCAAAAAAGTACATGAAAGTTCTTTAAAAAACAAAAACAAAAAAAAAAAAACATTCAAAAATACCAAGTCTCCTTGTCTCATTGAAGACGATATGTACATCTTTAGTTTTAACTTAAACGGTATTTCTGAAATACCCAGCATCAGATAACATTGTGTGTACTTGTTTACAAATGTCTGTATTTCATACAGTTCCATCTAATTTGTTTCCATTGCATCCCCAGATATCTATCAAAGCAATTGCTTCGCTGACAGTCCAGCGACAGTCAGTTGCACATCAGCCATGTTGTTTGTTAAAATTAAGTGAACGGCACAATTGCGCAGTGCAGTATGGGAAATTTCCCCATTTGCCATGCTCCAGAGAGGTAAGAACATTCCACTAAGTTCTACCTCCAGTTCGGCAAGGCAGTTAATGATTGTTCGCCATGTGAACGAGACACGTTGGAAGAACAGGTTTCTGCTACCGGTCGAATCTGCTCTTGTGAATGGGACTTTAGAATTCCCCCAGCAGCAGCAGCATGCTGCATTCTATTTACACTTGTGCTATACTTTCCAACTCCAAAATAAATTTCTATATTACATTATTTAAGGTTCATTGCCACATAAAATGCTTAAGCAATGGGTTTGCTGTTGAAGCTTCGCCTGAAGATTTTTGAGGTTCATTCTGATCATTGCTTCTCAGCACAGGGAATTAGTGGAAACATAAGACAAAAAAAAAAAGGTAGTTTTGCCATTCACACCCCACTGTTTTATGCTGATTAATGCATGGCTACGAAGTATTTCGTGAACTTCAGAAATATCTAAACAAATCTTGCAGAAGCCATTTATTGAAATTGCAGGTGTTTATTTCACTGCACAAAACTAATGCTGAAATGTACATGTGTGTGATACTTTCAACATGGTCGTTGTGACTAGCATACCACGTAGTATTTCACTAATCAAGTTGTGATAAATATGTTTGCTAGTGAGTTCATGCAAATTCCCCCCCTCCCCAGTGATCATGGTCCCAAGCAATTAAAGTATCATGTTATTTTTCAGAAAACAGATTCAGCACATGAGTATTCTTTGCAATATCGCTATGAACATTCTGAACAGACCTGCTAAGTTAAGGAACCAGATGTAACAGAAGCGCTACATGTAACAATTGTGATGGCTCTAAAAAGGATAAAAACTGCTTCCTGAGACAACTCAGGAAGCAGCAGTGCGATGAATTTCAATGATTATCATATGAAAATAGTATTGCTCGGTGCAGAGTGTGTACAAAACATCTGGAAAAAATAGATAAAAACTCACGGATTGTGCAAGGTTTCAGTGGGTCATTTAAATTAGAAACTTTCACATTATGCAATCAATCACAAATACACAAAGATTGTTTGTTGGAAGATACAGCTCTTAAAAACTGCTATATCCTTAACAACACACCAAAGAAAATTGAATGAAAGATTATTTCAGCCATTAGAAAAATTGTTTAATACAGCTTATTATATTGCAAAGCATAATAAACCATTTTCTGATTTTAAGATTTAATTTTAACTGCTTAATAAATTTGATGTAGGCATTGCTCTAAAGGAATATCAAAATAGGGAGGGAATTTTTCATTGTGCAATTTCCTTCCTTTCATCAAAATATGGGAAATTTATTTTTCATAATGCAGCTGTTATCCGTAAGTTTATTGCAGAAATTTTAGATTATAACTGTGTTAATATTCTTTTGGATGTGTTAGCTGATAAATATACAGAGATATGTAAGACTATAAAAAAAAGTTGTTCTTTTCCATAGTACCTACTGACTTCTTCTGCATTAGGTTACTATGAATGCTAGGAAGCAATACGAGGGGTAGAAAATGGACAGTAAGACTCAAAACAAGTGGGGACAGAAACATGATTGGAAGAGAAAATAGATTAGCTGTCATGTTGGATATAAATGAGCCTGTAATGCTACACTGTATTACACACAGGTTAAATTTTTAGTGTGTTGGACTCAGTACAAGAAACAAAATATCTTGATGAACTGGACAGTGTTCTTCAGATATTGTATAAATTTTACAATAATTATTCAAAAAGACTAAGACGACTAGGCCATGTTGCTCAGTTGTTGCTCCTGAAAGGCATGTATATTTGCATCAAATTTGATGGGTATTAAGCAAAGTTAATGCTCATCTTGCTCTCTTAAACAATTATGACATAGTGGTTTTTCATTTAGAAGTGCTCAATGAAAATTGAAAGGATGTTGCTGTGGCTGTTGTTGAAATACATAAAAGCCTTTCAATTTGTTTTAACTTTACATTTCTTTCCAGATTTTCTTTCCATTTTCAAGGAATTTCTCCAGTTTTTTAAGCACAGATCATTATTGTAAGCATAGTAGAGCTTTATACTAATAGGGCAATCTCTGAGTTAAATGACTTGGAATCTAAACCAGGCAAATATGGAAAAAAATGTGTCAATTCAATTACTATTAGTGGGACGTTTAAGAACATTCAGCTTCATTGATCGCTAAATTTTTAAATTTTTGATTCAAACAAGCAGAAATAGTGCTGTCTTTGACACTTTCATATGGCCTCATGACAATTTGGAAAGTTATGGAAAAGATGAAATTGTGACTTTGTACAATGACTTATATATGTCATTTCAAGTACAGTCTTCTAAAGGGCAAAACATGAAATCATTACATAAACTACTGGTACAAGTTAAAAATTTTGGAGCAAGATGCAGAAATACATGAATTGCTTTTTAAAGCAAATTCACACAAAGAAAGGTTTTTTTTTTTTTTTTTTTCCCTTCTCAGCCAGTTATTGTCAGTAGTCACAGTTTTACCGTCTTTCATATCATCTTGTAAATGACATTTTAGACAAATGAATCTCCTTAAGATTTATCTCAGAACATACATATACAACAAGACACTCGATATCTTTCTGATGATTAAACTCAGTGGACCTTCGATCATTTACAGACTTTCATCCTCAAACAGCAATAGACTCTTGGTTTTTTTGAAGGAAAACATCAAGACGCTTTAACAGTGCAAACAGAGAATGTCTGTTATATACATTTACTCAGCAAAATTTTATTTTGCAAGTAAGTAGATAACATATGCCTAAATTAAATTTTATATAAAAATGCAAAATACTTATTTTCATAAAATACAAGCATTGCTGAACTTTTGAAGTATTCCTTTAATTTTGTATATCAGTATGAAATTTTACTCAAGTTTTGTGAACAGAAAAATAATTTTTTATTGTAGAAATTATCTCATAGTAATAAAAGAAGCTGCATTAAAATTTAAGTAATTTGAATCTCAATCAGCAAATGCAAAAAATCAGAAAAAATTTTGCAAAGACTCTTTAATGATACATAACATTGAGATACTAAATTCTGTACACACAAAACATTCCAATGCAAAGGAAAAAGTTATTACTACTAATCTGAAAAAATGATAACACACAAATAAAACAATTACCATGATTTGTAAGAATAAAGGGGAAAATTTGAAATACCTGTTCTTATCTTCAAAATCAATTTTATTTTCAATTCTCAATGGAGCTATTTTATCATCTGTTTCAGAAATTTTTCTCATTGGTGAAGCAGGCCTACAAAGTATATACTCAATTTTAAACGAAAATTCAAGTTCATACATAAAATGTAACAAATTTATGTTTCAGTTACTGTTGTTCATCAGAAAATAAGATATTGAACTTGAAATTAATAAAATTTAAAACACATATGTTAAATGGGCATACATCTTAAAACTCCAGTTATGCACAAACATACCTAATCACGATCTTTTGTTAAATTCAAAATTAATCTTTACATTAATGAAGATATAATGAAAACATAATAATTACTAATTTATATTATGCAAGATTGTTTACAGCATCCAAAATTTTAGTGTATATGCTATACTTAATATATTTCTATATCCAAATTCTTCAGTGTATCAAGAGCCCAACCAAAAAAAAAAAAAAAAAAAAGTTTTTTCAATCATTTATATCATTACAGATTTTGATTCAAACCTTCAATATGTAAGACATAACAGTAGATCCTGCGAATGCATTATCTGCTTTTTAACATGACTAAATCTATGCTACTTCAGTAAATAATTCATTTTTAATTTCAACTAATTACAAAATTAGAATTTATCCTTGCACTACTCAATTTCAGTACGAACATGTATTAACACATTTAATATGTTAAGGTCTGTAGATGTGGCAACAGGAAATATGAATAATATTTTTTAAATGAAAGCTTAAATTATTTTATAACTGCTAAGTCCAAAAAGTTTCTAATAACTTAATTTACTATTATATATTTACTATAAGATATTATAAAAATAGTATAAATATAATTAAATTTTACACATACAGTTGACTACTAAAATACATGGAACTTAAGGATACGGATTAATTAAGGGCTAATTCCATCCCATGCAATCAAAAATCAGTATATAACTTTCATCTTTTCAAAAATTTAATTGATTAGAAGCCTGAATAAGATAAAACATTACATTATATATTATATGTTGCATTTTGGCATATTTTGCATGCTAGAAAAGCCAATTTTTTTCAAGTCAGAGTAAAGAAAATATGTTTATAAAATTGATTTTTTTAATTTTAAAACTGTCAAAATATGAATATCTGCTTTATTTAAAACATTTTTGTAACCAGAGGCATATTATCAAAGGTTCCAAAAAATAAAGAAGGGGGATGTGAGGATCTTTTTATAGACATGCCCTATACATATTCTGTTTAGACACATTAAAACATGAATTGATATTTGGCAGGAAAAGATTCAAATGCAGTAGCCTCTATTAATTATCATATCATCTTGTGCTGCTATTAATATAATATTAAATAATTTTCTAGCCCCTAAAGTGATATTTTACATCAAAATATAATTTTGACTGCATTTAAAAATTTCAGAAAGCCTAAAATGGGACAACAATAGAAACTTCTACAAAAACATCCAAAAGTTGTTCTATGAACATGTTAAAAAACGATATTAAAAAAAAAAGGTGTATACAAACGGCTTGACACAATTTCACTCACTAGAAAAAAAGGCATGGTTTTCTCAATGCTTAGAGCTTAAGTTCATTTTTATATTGATTGTTTAACACTAGAACGGTGGTAGGGGCATTTTGATCCCTGAGCACTTTTGACCATTGATTACTTTTGTTTTATTGGAAGGAATCATTTGGAATTTTTTTACTTTTCCTAAATAGATAACAAATATTTGTAAAAAAATTTTCAGCATTCTAGGTTTGTTAGTTTTGGAAATATCGGAATGTATTCCTAGAACGGCGGATGGGGGTCATTTTGACCCCTTTACTTTTATCCCTCTCTCTGCTAGATTCATTGTCAAATAACCCATGAAAAACATTCACTGATAAGGATTTTTCGACTGCATTCATACTACCTCCCAGAGGGATAAAAAACCTGGGTGATCTCACTACTTTGTAATGTGTACATTTGCATTTATCTATTCGTTTGAAGAAAATACAACAAGGAAGGTAGATGCAGGGTTTTTCATGCCTACATTTCTTTACAGAAATAGTTTATTTTACAGATGTATTTTCCCGTTTGTTAGTTCAGGTGATAAGAGTTAGATCAGATGTTTTCTTGGTAATCCCAAATCAGTATTTTAGTACACATGAATTCTACCATCAAGTTCATTATCACCTTTACTTTATACTGTGAGAGTCATATGCTATAATATATTCCTTATCGTTTTTTGTTAGTCTGATATTTTTCTACTTTTTTTAACTTTGACAAAATATGTCTTAAAAAGCGGAAAGAGGTCTTACAGATGAAGAAATTAAAAAATTGTTGCAGGAGCTATCTGAAAATGAGTCTGACAAAGGTGAAATTGATAATTTTTCTGTAGAAAGTGAATATGAATTCCAGACACAAACTATTAGTGAATCCGAGGACGGCAAAGTAAATGAAGAACTCGGCAGAAATAAACGGGCAAAAATGGATCAGGGTAATTGCAAAACTGTTATTACAGCTCCTGATAACACTATATGGAATGAAATAAATTCCAAAAATTCAGTCTGTGTCCGTGTTTTTTCTTATAATGTTCTAAAAAAAACAGCAGGCCCAACATTTTTTGCAAAGCGCCATGTTTCTTTGAGGACAAAGTGTCTAGTGCTTTCAAGTTTTTTATTGATGATGATATCTTGCTGCATATAAAGAAATGTACAGAATCCTAAGCTCATTGGCAACTTGGAAATAAAAACTGGAAGTTATCTCTGGCTGAGTTAGATGCTTTTGTTGCTATATTGTATGTTCGAGGAGTAACAAGAGCAAAGGGCTTAGATTTATATTTCTTGTGGCCCGAAGTATGGGGAACACCATTTTGCAAAGAAACTATATCAAGAGATAGATTCAAAGAAATAAAACAATTTTTAAGGTTCGATGAAAAGATAACAAGATCCACTTGATTACAGACTGATAAATTTGCTGTTGCATCAGACATGTGGAACAAATTTATTGAAAACTGCAAAACATGCTACAGGCCAGGACAAAATATTACAGTTGATGAACAGTTATTCCCATCTAAAGCCACATGTAGATTTACACAATATATGCTTAATAAACCTGACAAATTTGGAATACAATTTGGTTATCTGTTGACGTTGATACTAAATACCTCTTGAATGGATTTCCTTATCTAGGAAAAGATGAAACAGCAAATCCTCAATTACATTTGTCTGAAAATGTTGTCATAAAATTAACAGAGCCACATCTAAACAAAGAGAGGAATATTACCATGGATAACTATTTTACTAGCATTAAATTAGGAGAAATGCTAAAATCAAAAAATACAACTATGGTCAGCACAATGAAAAAGAAAAGAAGAGAAATTCCTATATCTTTGAAAAATATGCGTAGTAATCTTTATTCATCGACAATAGAGGAACATGATAATATCACACTTACCATCTATCAAGGCAAAAGAAACAAAAGCGTTTTTCTACTGAGGTCATTACATTCTACTGTAAAAACTGAAGACAGTCTCAAGAAGTAGCCCGATTCAATAGCATTTTGCAACGCAACAAAGTATGGTGTGGATATTTGTGATCAGATGTGTCGAAAATATTCAGTTAAATCGGCTTCTAGACGATGGCCTGTACATATCTTTTTAAATATTTTGGATCACGCAGTTTTGAATGCCTGGATAATTTATAAAAGTGTAAAAGGAAACACCATTAACAGGTGAGATTTTCTACTGAAATTAGGAGAGAAGTTAAGAGTGGTACATATGGCTTAAAAACTCCCAAAGATCCTTCCTGAGTCTTCAGAAAAACGCATGAAAAGAAAATGGTTATAAAGAGAAAAAAGTGTCAAGTACAGAGATGCAATGGAAACAAATGTCAAGAATATTTTGCATCGTGTTGCGAAGTTGTGTGCGGAAAATGCACTGGAAAAATTGTTAAAAATTATTTTTGTATCAAATGCATTAATTCGTAATACGTATGTGTAATCTTTAATATTTTAAACATTAAATAGAACTGAAACAAAATGATTTACATATTCCATTTAGTTACATCTATAATGATATAACTGAAACATCAGAGAACACTTCTCATTTCGGGATTTAGGGAGTGAATCATCCTCCGAGTAAGTACATAAAAAAATATTATTATATAAATTGTGTTTCATTTTAGTTAACATTAGTTTTAATTTGTGAAACCATTTATTTGCAATCGATTCTTATATCAAATTAATGAGTTATTTGAGTAACTGTAGTATGATCCAATTGATCTCCATGTACTCGATACATTTATAGTATTTTAAAAAGTCAATAAATTAACATGTGCTATTAAATATAAATTATGAAATACATATAAAGTACATATTTGTGCCAATGTATGGCATTAAAAATTGTTTTACCATTGTTATTTCAGTACTTTCATGGAAGGATCAAAATGACCCCTTACTGCCGTTCAGTAAGATTTTCCCACTGTTCTAGTATTAAATCAGCCAACATGTCCTCAGTTTAAGTCTCAATAGCAGAAGGGCAGCAAAAGGATACCGACCTTCATTGAAGCCATCTCTCAGCTAACATAATTATTAACGAATGAAAAACAGCATGATCTAGCTACAACTCATATGAGTTACAAGATACAGATGATGGCATAAAACTAAATCAGCTCCAATGGCAGTAACAACATGCCCTCTACATTAGAGCCTGAAAAAGTTACTGGCTGCTTTGCTACCACTTTTCACATAAAAACAACCAAACTGAATCACCACAGCATCAATCAGCCACATACAGTGAAACACTTGCCCATACATTGGAACTTCAATCATGCCCACAAACTCAATGGGTTTACTCACGATACAGTACAAAGTCCGTAATCCGGACGTCCATTATCCGGAATGATCTGTAATTCAGACCTCAAAGCCACAAACTTTACGCATGCGCACGTTGAAAGAAATGTTTAATAAAGTAAACAAATAAATATTAAGATTTTTTTTTGTAAAATTTGATACCCTTTAGATCATAATTGCTCTTTATTTCAGAAATTACAGTTTCATATTTTTAATTGTATAATTTTTGCATGCCATCCTACCAGATTTAAATTGATGATCTATAATCCGGAAAAAACCCCAATCCGGGATTGCCGAAGTCCCGACGAGTCCGGATTACAGACTTTGTACTGTGTAATGCATGCATCATACCTATCAAATGAAGGCATTAAAGGATGACTCTGAAGCGACTACTCATCCTAAAAAAGGCATAGCTTGCTCAATACACATTTGCTTTGATCATCTGAGTCATCATGTCATGGTTTTAAGTTCTCAGTTTGAAACTCAATGTTAGCAAGATGCATTGATATTAACAGTGCCATTTATCAACTAACATCGCCATTAACAAACCAAAAATGTTCCACAGTAATAACTAACCAAAATTATCAGATATAAATGGCACCATAAGGCCCAAATCAGATAATACAGCAAACTACAAGCACACCTACTTACGGTCCTAATATTTTATACACATATCACACCGGACTGCTTTTAAGTAGCAAACAATCCACAATGATTTTATACTTTAATTAAAAGCTATGCATTAATTATTTCAACAAGGCTGAGAATCACTTATCATTAACTGAAACATAATTCGATACACAAATACGTAAAAAAATTTATTATTATTAAAATTTTGGTACTCTTCTGTTATAAGGATCAGTTCAGAAATGTATGTATGTGTGTATATATATGTGTACACGCACATATATATGTATGTGCATATATACGTGTATACACACACACATATATATATATAGGCACATGTATATGTATCCATGTGCACACATACATTTCTAAATGCGGTTCCAATAACAGAAGAGTACCAAAATTTTAGTACTAAACTTCTAAAATAAATTTTACATAAATACTACATGACTATTTACTTGTATTACATCTATTTAAATATTTGCTATAATGCATTTTCATATAAAAATATGAATTTATATTCGATTCTGATTTTGTTATACACACAAATATGTTTATGGAGAGCTAAAAAAGTTACTAAAAAATTATGCTGTTTTGTACCAAAGAATTTAAAAGTAATATAAAATAAGCAATCTGCATAAGATGGGTGTAAAAATATGAAAAAAGACAATAAGAAAATGCGATAAATTTACCAGAAAACTGTAAATTAAAAAATAAATATTTTTAAAGAGAAAAATTTATCAACATAACTTTTGTTAAGAGTACAGCTGATGGCATATTGTCAGTAGTAATAAGGAACAAAAGGCTTCTGGCTGTTGTTTTAAATCAGAATGCATTTTATATCTCTATTTTTCAATTAATAATGCTCAGTACAGTGAGTTTGAAAGACAAAAATATGATGGTATGATTTTTGATAAAGCTTTTGAAATTTCTAATAGAAGCTTGCTAACAATGGTATGCAATATTTTGTTGCACCATAAAATGAATGTTAGAAAATTAAATCCAGTACCTTTTATTTTTGTTGATTTAATATTTTAAAAGTACCAACTGATTCTTTTTAATATTCAAAGAAAATAAAAACCCACACTGAAATAGCATTATAAAATTATATATATAATTAAGGAGAAAAAAATATATCTAATCCGTTCTAAATTCTGCATTACATTTAGTGAGCAGGCTCCATTAGTCAGACTAATGCATGAAAAAATACAGAATTCGGCAAAGATCTACAAAAAAAGATAGAGATGCTGCTCAGTCTATGCTGCATCATATGGTGCTGTGGATTGCTTTTAATTTATCTTTTGGATAATTGCACAATGCTGATTCTCATATTATTAACTCATTTCTATAACTGCAGGATCTAATGAACACATAATAAACATTTCTTCTGCATGGAGTTATTTGTTTAACTTAGATGATTAAAATGTTAGTGGCAGTACTGGTTAGTATGTTAGCAGCTAAAAGTTTATTATATGTATTACTATAATTAAGACACAATAACACGCCGAATAAATACTAATTCAGAAGTCAAACAACAAAAATCAGCGTTAATTTGCAAAATTTTCACAGGACTAGTTTCGATGGTTTTACCGAACCATCATCTTCAGCTGCAAAACCGCAAATGAACAAGATAGGAAATAATGTTTAGATAAGATAAGAAAGCCTGGACAAGAATAAGCAAGTGGCGCCATCTGTTGGCGAAACCAGAACTAAAACATAATTTCTCTAAAAGCCGAAGGCAAATTTGGATTGGAATTAGGATCGTTAACTAGAACAGAAAGAATTTTATATGAATGTGAAATGCCTCTAGAAAATCCAGTTTCTCCAAATGGAAGATGTTTTTTTGAATAATTTTGGCAGCAGAAAAATTGAAAGTGTGATTTTCGGACCAACAATGTTGAGCAACAGAAGACTTCTGTGTTTCCTTTTTTCTAACATATGCTTCATGTTCTTTGACACGAAATTTTAAGGCTCTCTTAGTTTGGCCAATGTAAATTAAACCGCACTGGCAAGGAATCCTATAAATACCCCAGGAATTCATATCCGGAATGGGGTCCTTGAGTATAGAAGTTGGAATTTTATTGATGGGAGAGTAAACAACCCGAAAGTTAAATTTCTGCAAAATATGTGCAACTTTATAGCTAATTGATGGAAAGAAGGGAATGACAACAGAATTTTTATAATCTCCTAAAATAAGAGTGTGGCTTTTGGTGTGTTGAGATGAGAATTTTTTAACTGCTTGATTAATAATGTTGGGTGAAAAGCCCCTGTCAATAGCTATTGCTTTTAAATAATTTAGTTCTTCATCAAGGGCCAGTTTGGAGGAGCAAACTTGAAGAGCATGGAAAACATAGGAATAAAATGAAGCTAACTTTTGTTTAGTCATAAGCATATGTTAGAAAAGCATATGTTAGAAAAAAGGAAACACAGAAGTCTTCTGTTGCTCAACATTGTTGGTCCGAAAATCACACTTTCAATTTTTCTGCTGCCAAAATTATTCAAAAAACATCTTCCATTGGAGAACTGGATTTTCTAGAGGCATTTCACATTCATAAAAATCTTTCTGTTCTAGTTAACGATCCTAATTCCAATCCAAATTGCCTTCGGCTTTTAGAGAATTATGTTTTTAGTTCTGGTTTCGCCAACAGATGGCGCCACTTGCTTATTCTTGTCCAGGCTTTCTTATCTTATCTAACATTATTTCCTATCTTGTTCATTTGCGGTTTTGCAGCTGAAGATGATGGTTCGGTAAAATCATCGAAACTAGTCCTGTGAAAATTTTGCAAATTAACGCTGATTTTTGTTGTTTGACTTCTGAATTATGTATTACTATGTTTTGATTTATTTTGAATTCAACAGAAATTGACAAAAGCTTCAACTAAAAATTTATAAACTTAGTTTCTTACCCTTCATTTACTGTGCCTTCAGGAAAAGTATTGTCAAATGTCTTCTCATAGTCCAGCATCAAATCATCAGATGCAATGCTGGAACAAGATGACCCCAAATCAGATCCTAAAAGTAAACTATCTCGGTGATCACCTGTGCGACTTTTACGGCTGCAGTAACTTCCAACACTATCTGTTCTTTTTTTAGAAGAACTAGCCATCTGTAATGCATGTAATTCCGTTACAGCTAACTGTAAGGACTGCATATCAGATTCCTCAGATCTTGGTTCTCCAAAAAATGTTAGTCCAGGTTGATCAGAAATTTCATCATCAATCAAAAACTCTCTATTTTCCACTTCAGAAGGAGGGCTTAGAACTCCATTTTCTGTGCTGTCTGACTTCTCATCAGAATCAAGACTAGATTGTTTAGAATTCAATGTTTGATACTCTGACGTTTTTCTAACAGTTTTAGGTTTTTCTTCATTTACACTTTTTTCAGATTCATTCTGAATATAGAAAACACTGTTTCCTCCAGACAATGGCTGATTCAGTTGTCTCCTCATTTTGGGAATACATGAAGAATTTACAGCCTGAGGTTGTGCAATTCGCTGCATCTGTTCAGAAACAGTTTTTTCTCTTGAATTATAAGAATTGCAATCTAACGGTTTGCATGACTTTTTCTGATATGATAATAATCCTTTATATGAAGCATATGTTGAAAAGATATTCTCAGAAGCACTTATTTTAAAAGAGTGTTTTTCTCGTGGACTGCTTCCTCCCGAACTGCTGAAAGGCTTCGGAACCACAGACCTCTCTGTTTCAGGTCCAAAATGCTTTTCATCAAAACTCCATTTACCATTTGGCTCTCTTTTATATGTTGGTGCTTTTACTGACATTTTTGTCTCAGAACGGCAATATTTTGGAGTACTAGTTGACCTTGTAGAACATGTATCAATGGAAACAGGAGAGGAATCATCTTGCAATTCTAGATGCTCCAAGTCCTTAATTGTATCAGAATCTTCAGGCTTAATTTTTTCATTCAAACTATTTCCTATGCCTGAATCAAAATCTGATAAACTATCATGACTTTCGAACCCCTTCCTCGATGGAGATTTTGACTGAGGACTTTGTCCCGAAGAACTATTCCTACTACCTACACCTCTAAAATCTTTAGTTTGTTGAGATTTAGGAACTGCTAAACTTTCTGTATTGAGGTGAGATACACTGTGAGCAGATTTAGAAACAGCAACATACTGACGAGGAAGCCCAGTTCCTTTTCCGGGTATCCTAGTTTGTTTTTCTTCACTTACATCTTGGTTAACAATTTTATCTGGACAACTTTTACTACCTAGACTCTTTGGTTTGAATTGTGATTCAGTCTTAGCTACCTTATTTACAGGAGGTGATGCATTATTAGTAATGTTAACAGCAGATCGGGAATTAATTATGGGATTATTGTTCACAACATGCAAAGTTTCATTATCATTATAATTTGGAATATTTGTCTTTTGTTCAGCAGTAAGCGAAGTTGTGGAAGGTAGACTAGAGCTAAACCGAGGAATGTTTGACTGGAAGCTATTTTTCAAATTTTTTATTTCGCCAGGGTCAACAGTACTGACAGAACTATGTTTTGTAGATAATGGAATGCTCTTTTTAGCTGCATATTCAATATTTGCATTTTGTGTTCTAGAATAGGGAGTAGGACGTGCCAGTCGCGATGCCTCTTCTAGCTTAGTGGAAGCCATATGAACAGTAGTATACGAACGATTCCCTCCACTAGCTTTCTTGGAATAGCATGCGCCCATTCAGAGGTGTATTCAAAAAAATACTGAAATTTAAAAAATATATTTATTTATTAATTTTAATACAAAAAAATAGAAAACTTTGTAATAATTACGTTAAAATGATGCAAGGTTTTATAGAATTTATCTCATCAGTAACACATTTTTCAATAATAAAAAAGTGAAAGCAGAATCTTTTGAATACATATTTTTCTAAAATGTATTGAACACACAAGTCATAATTACTTTTACATTGGTGATGTCACAAATATAGCAGTTCAAACTTAACATATGCAAAGTGGCCAACGTCAGAAAAAATTTCCAAATATGCTGATTCTAAGCACACTCAAACTTTTTTTTTTTCTTTTTTTTTAATGAAGCCCCCACTAAAAATTTTATCTGTAATTCTATTTGCATAATTAAAAGGCTGACAGCTGCACATGTTTTTAAATTAAGCAAATTATAAAAACAAAAGTATATTGTTTTTATTACATGCTGAACGTAATTTCGTTACAGAAAAATGGGATGTTCGGAAGCTTCATAAACAGCGACATTTAAAATGCTTTCATTAGATAAAAATAGTAATTTAAAATATTCTCCAATGTAACAGAAACTATATTTCAACAAACTATAGAAAAGGGGGACAGATAATGTTTTTCCACTACACACTTTATCATATTATGAATCAGGATCTGTTCAGAAAAGCCCAATGAACATGCACTTTTGCCTCTATTAAGTTAGAGAACATACACTGGCTATCATTAAGAAAAAATCATAAAAATGATGATTACTCAAAAAGTTACAAGGAAAATTTAATGAAACTGACTCACAATATATAACATACAGTAAGATATAAAATAAGATGAAAAGAAATTACCAGACAATTATGGTGTCATATAAATTAGCATATGTGTAAAATGAACAAATCGGATGTATCAGTTTAGTTTTAATCAGTTTTATAGGAAAATTACCTTCAATATGGAGTATGATCTCCCCTAGAAGCAATACAGCACATACAGCAATGTGCAATACTGTCAATTATGCAGTCTGTCAGTTCCATTAGGAAGTGACAGCCATTGGTCTTACAAAGCAGTTGCAAGCATGGCAAGTCTGAAGAAGAGGATTGAGAGAGGCTTCCTAAAGCCTCCCAAACATGCTCGATTCAGGTCCAGTGATCGAGCTGGCCACTTCATGAGCTCAATTATTCGCTGCTGAAGGTTATACATTTACATATACATGATGTATATATATATACATGCATTATACATGAAGCAAGCCCTGGGGGATCTAGCACTGTCATCCTGTAGCAGAAAGTTATCACCTATTGCCCCAGCATAAAGGCACACATAAGCATCAAGGTCGTCATCTCTATAGGCCTCAAGCATTCATGGTTCCATGTAGAAAGACATGGAGGTCTGTGCATCCACCCGAAGAGATACCACCCCAAACACAGACACTGCCTCCTACGTATATATGCATCTCTTTCATGCATGTTTGATGGATGAAAACGGGTTTCAGGTTCTCTACAAATCAAACAATGCTTACTGTCATTTTAAAAGCCAAACCTGGACTCATCTGTAAAGAAAACAGCCCTCCATTGATCAGTTGTCTGGTGGACATGTTAACATACCTACCTCAAAGGTTCAATGATGTGATGCGAGCAGCATGCAAATGGCTGGTCACCTCACGTATAGATCTCCTTTGTGAAGCCTTCTACACATGGTTGATGTTGACACCAATCTACAAGTGGATGCAGCAAGAGAGGATCTGAGTTAAGTCAGAGTTCAGGTTCTATTCCTCTATATACATACCCTCGACTAAACGTCCTTGATGATGAATGTGTGGTTAGAAATTGTTGCCAAAGTCTATAAACCACAGAAGGACTCACATTTAGCAATTAGGCCACTTCTATCTGACTTTGTCCTGCCTCTAGCCCCCAATAGCTCTCTATCACAGTTCTTCGGGAAAATGATGCCTGGAGATCACTGTTACAAATTCTCTATCCCAAATTTCTTATCTCAGTAGCACAGCAAAATTTGCAGGCTTGCTCTAAAACATGTCATTTTATGCTATTCGCAGATGACGAATTTCAACTGCAGTGTCACTAATTTGCATACTGCACTTTTACTCAGCAATTCTTATTTGACTACATATTCAAATTTTATACAAACTAGCTTATTTTTGAACAAGTTATCACTATTTTTTAGATTTTTCCTTAATTTTTTTAAACCAGTACATAAAGCATCTAAAATATGCAGGTGTTGTAACACAATTCTTCTGTTTTTATTTGTTTCGATCAACAGTCTCCACAGGAATTTTAAGCACTACTAACACTAATTAGCACATATTATGACTAGCCAAAAAATATATATATACTCTGATATATTTACAAAAACATGACAAAATAGGAATTTTCATTAAATGACAAGAATGCCGAGTTATAGCAATAATATGGTACCATGTCACTGATAACAGGAATCACAATAAGACCACATATGTATGAAATTATCTCTTTATGATATATTAACATATTGTAATAAATCTTAGAAATCAAGCAAAGCCAAGAAATAATTAATTTGTAACAGGAATGACTACAAAATATAATACCAGTAACATTATTATATAATAGCTGAAAATTATACTTCTTGAATACCCTAAATATACACCCAATATATGTTCTTAGATATTGTATAAAATAATTCAGATTTACATTAATTTTCAAACTTTTAAAGAAAAAATAGAAAATTTTAAAAAATTATATTCAAGACACCATTTTTAGACAGATTTTAAAAAAAGGGGGGGAATCTTTTATACACTTCTTACAAATATAATCAAGATTATGGTGGTTTGAATTTATGAATCTGAGGAAAAAAATAGATTTAATATATTCAATCTATCTGGACATATTGAATTTATTACGTATACAGGAAATACACTTTATTACGTATACAGGAAATGCGTAACTATATGTGTATGAAGAGTTATTTGCAAGGTAGCACTAAAATCAGACTTTAAAAAGAGAACATATAAAACAAGCTTTAAAAAGTATTTTATTCAAATTTAACCACAATTCACTGTCTGTCTACCACAAGAATACCTTCCGAAAGAATGTCTACAGTGGTCTGTTGCTGCAGAAATAAAACCTAACCCAATTTTCATATGGGCGTCTTTAATGACAAATTGGCGATGTAAGTTTTCTGAGTTTACTAAAATATTCATTTTGTCTTTTCCATAGCTAACATTTGTCTAGAACAAAATAACATTAAAACTTTTACTTGACTCACCCCTATTTGAAATGCATAAGGCCCTTTATTATAGTTACAGCCTCCAGTTAAATACACTGGTTAAAGTAGTTCTCATGATAGGCAGATATAGTATAAATAAATAATGTTTATTAATTCAGTTTTGAATATAATGGTGTTTATACAAGATCCAGCATAAGCAATAATGACAGGTCTCGCCAATAACCAAAAGCGGTTACAGTTGGGCTGATAACCGCTTACAGTTGGTTGGTTTTTGAGTATAACTTGTGAAAATATGGCTTTATCTAACTCCACCTCAATTTAAATCCAGAAAGCATGCATGGATGAAATCCAATAGTCTTATAAACCTCTTAAACCACACTAAAAAATTTTCAAGAAGATAAATCAAAAGGAGTTCTCCAAAGCTACTGCACCCAATAATCAAACCTGGGACTACTGCTATGAAAGCACCTTCACTAACCAATATATAGATCAGGTGATATAAAATGACAGTGAAGCACATACATGAATACTTATACCTCAAATAATTTAACTTCAGCATTACTTTTGACCAATCTCCAACATAGTACATATAAATTACCAATATCATCAATATCACATCTAATAGTAAAATATATGAAAGACAAAAGATTAAAATGCCTACAATGTTTTGGTATCACCTGGTGTCCCAAAACTAAAAACATAAAGAAGTGAGACACAATTTGCATTTGTGAGATATTATTATGCATGTTTTCAGCATCATTCACAAAAATTCCAATGAATATCAATGCAAACTTCAGCCAGGGAAATCTCTTCAAGATCTGTACTTTAAAGTAAAATATATATATAAAAAAGGTCTCTTATAGTTCTGTTACAACCAAAACTGGTGCAAAAATATAAAATTAACTATGAAAATGTAGACTGCATAAAATACTACCGTAAATTGTATAATTTAGCAGTTCAGTTGTTAATTTCCATTAGTTTCTCAATTTAATATACTTTGCAGAATAAAATTACATCTTCTTTGAGGTTTTGATGCAAGATAAATATCTGAAACCAATAAAATAAGTTTAGATTTTTTTTAATTTATAATTTTAATGGTTAAAAATATAGTGATTAATATATAGGAAACAAATTACTTAGCTTCAAAAGAATGAAATGAGAATGAGCTAAATTAAATGAACAAATTTAGCTTAAGAAAGCACAAGGAATGATAAAATCATGCATGGTTGATTATGCAATTGTAGAATGAATATTTTATCATGCCTTGTACAGAGCAAACTATGTCAAAATGATGCATGAAGGGCACGGAGTGATTACTAATATTAACAAAATAATGTTTATAATAATCAATTATAAACCCAAAAAAAAAAAAAAGAACTTACGTTTCACATTTGCTTACTCTGCAGAATTTCAGACTACAGAGAAGACTGATATTTAAAACACATAGAATATCAAATCAATTAGTCGCATAATTTGCTTATTATTAAAACACTTCATTAGAATCCACATTTCCTGATAAATGAAATCTTACGAGAAACCTTACAAACTACATATGAAGTCACCTTAACAATATTATGGATCACTCATTTAATATGTGATATAAGAAAGCATCAATATGCTATAGTCTAAAAACAAGCAAAACCTCTTTTGTGCATCACGTTGTGAAACAACCTAGTATTCAAAAACTGATTAAAAGATCCTTTTAAACAGTCACATTTGAAAAAAATGAAACTGAAAGACAATCATAATCAAATGAAAAAAGCATCTATGAAACTTAATTTAAACTTAAATCCAACTAATGTAATATTTGATCACAAATCACTTTAAATTCCAATTTCTATGATAGACTTTACAGAATGCAAATCAAACTCCAAAGAAAATATTACTTCAAATTGAAAATGATTTTGAAATAGTATGCAATATTTTAATAAAAATAGCATATCAAAAACCATCCTAAATAAAGAATCTTGCATATTAAATCTACCAAGGTACAAATATTTTCAAAACTTGCTAAACTGAAACAATAATGCCATTTTCTTGAAAACCCGCGATCATTTTCAATTACTTGATTATAATTTTTAATTCTTGAAACAGCTCTTCATAAATTTTTAACATGTTATTTGAATGAATTTTCCTTATGATATGCATCTGTGAGAACAGCCAGCTAATGAAAAGGATGCTACATATTTATTAAATATACATACTTTATTATTATTTATTGCTACATATTTATTAACAAATTTTACTAATACTTGTGAATATATCAGGTTTTAACGAAAGTTTCCCGTCATCAAAAATACTGTCATCTGCACAAACAGTTCATGCTTATGTATTTATCTATACTTTGTCAAATGCTTTTTGGCATTTGGAAGAAAGAGAATAGCATCATCATCATCATCTGTTTCGGATACCTTGCATCAATGCAAGGTATCCGAAACGGAACTATCATGCTACCAGATTAGAATCATCATTTACTTTCAGCTCTGTTGCAAAAAGTCAGCTATAGAATGTTGCCAAATCATGTTTACAGCTTTAGGTACTAATGTTGTATCATATAGCACTGTGAAGGTTTTGTACCGGAAGTTAAAAACAAGGACTATGACATTCAAGAAGCAGAGCGCTTTGTCTGGCCTACTGATGTTGATGAAGCCCGCCTGCAAGAACTTGTGGAAGAAGATCAGTACGCAACCACTCGAGAGCTTGCTAAGGAGTTAGTTAGGTGGTATTATCCACAAACAGTATCTGGAAAAAGGTAAAACCCTTGTCAGTAAGGTGTACAGTGAGATGCTAGTCTGTGTTGACACTGCTATCAAGGGAAAACATCAAACGAAATTCTGGTGAAGAAAGATAATGTTCCATCAAGATAATGTCTGCATTCACTGGCTGGACTCTTTATGGACTTGAATGGGATCTTTTGCCACACCCATCATATAGCCCCAACATCTCTCCTTCAGACTTCTACCCTTTTCACACCTGCAGCTACATCTTGCTGGTGCTGTCTTCTATTCTGCACAAGGCATCCAAAATGAGGTTGACCTGTTTTTGAACATGTGGCCAACAAGTTTTTGTGTCGAAGACTTTGAAAAACTAGCAAATTGTTGGCAGAAAATCATAGATTTGGGTTGTGAATACTACCCACACTAAAAGTACTAATTTCATGCCTTTTTTTCTAACTTTATTAAGAAGGTTTTTGGCAGAAAACTTTCATTACAACCAGATACTAATCTCCATTCAATAAAATTATAAGTTGTTAAAGATGTATTTTGGAAAGAGACTGCTATAACAGATGACAATTTCCTACGGATCCCCATCCAGTACAATTTTTTCAGTAATCTTTGCTTTCAGAAATTTTACATAACTAAGTTACATTATTTGGCCCCATGATCTTTCCTTCAATCTGATTGGTTGAAATATATGAAACATAACATCAAATAAAATTTTTTTGCCATCATAGTAAAACATCACAGTTAGAAATCTGCTGTTCAAAGTAGCTCTCTGGATGGATGCATTTCTAAGAATCATATTATATTTGAGAAATGCATATACACTGGTTTCCAAAAGTTAAGCATGCAATGCAAATTAGCAATTTTGGAAAGCATAGTTGAATTTGAGTGGCTGAAAACTGCTGTGCATGCAAAAATTATTTTACAGTCATATGTTAGAACCAATCATCTTTTACTGCCATATACTACAGTGACTGCCGATTTGGCAGTCACTGTAGTATATGCCAAATCGGCAGTCACTGTAGACAGCAGCATTCTGAAAGATTTAAGGAACCTCATTTAAATGTTGATACAAAGTTCTTATAACTTCCACTGGATAAACTTTGATAACATTCAGAGTTCTACGGCTAGAAGACAATGAATGGCATATAGTGACAGATGCATTAAAGCAAGACTGCCAATCAAAGATTTTGCTCTTTTCTCAGCAATTGATCATTTAGGAATTTCGCAAATATGGAAACAATTCTAAACAAGGCAAACAGCTGTCCAGAGACCTGTCTCCTGTCATACAAAGGCTACCATAGTCAGGGTTCATAGCCACATTTTAGTTAAAAAAATAAGCACCTATAAGTACTTTTCAAGCACATTTTAAGAAAAAAAAATAAGCACCTGTCTAATTACATTAAATGCATAACCTTAAAATTAGACTCGTAATTTAAAATATGAGAAATGCAGTATTTATTAAGAGAGAATAAGTATTACCTCAACCATGGAAAATAATTACTTTTTTTTTAATTTTAAATAACAGTTCAATTTACAGAACTAGTTTACAATGAAAAGAAAAAAAAAACTTTGCAGAACTAAACTATATTACAAGATTTAATGATGAAATTTCACTTCAAAATAGAGGAAATAAATAATAATAAGGCATATTTATTCTATTCGCTTGGAACTTAATAATAAATACAATTTATTTTTCCACTCATATTGATATTTAACTAATTTAAATCTAAATTCTGAACATTTTCTAAATTTCCATCGTATATCAGTTTTTCCTTAACAGATATTGCAAGAGGAACATTTCTGAAATCAGAAGACAGAAATTTGCTTCATGCAGTCATCCTTTAACAGTAAAAGCTTAACTACCCGCATACTTGAAAATTGGCGAACATTCGGACAGTCGAGCGTAACTTGAAAAAGAGGAGCGGAGGAATAGACTGTAGCCGTTCTTTAGATTTTTCTGCTAAATAAATGCTTTTGACATTTTGATATGTGCATCATATGAAAACAAACCAACGGAACAGAAAAATATTCTGCTTTGCAAGCACAGTAACACTCTTTTAAGTGTTCATAAACAAATCTCGGACCGAACATCAAAATTAATTATCTCTGCAAAATATCGCAAACGTTATTGCGCAATACGTGCGAGGTAATTCTTCCCTACATGATATTACGCAATCGGATTCAACAGCTGCTGCCGGTATTGGGAGAATAAAGAACTAAATAAAGGAAAAGAAAGAGACTTACCAATCTGGGGTGTTTTTCATTCTAATTTTCAACAGACTGCGTTAAATTTCCGGAATAGAATCATTCTTCGCTTGGGGTGGTAGACCGCAGAACTTTTAGTCCTATTCAATACAGATTGGAAAGTGACCCCCCCCCCCAAAAAAAAGGGTCCGTTGCTTGTTTTGCAGCAAACTGTAACAGTTTCACTATTCGAGATTTTGCGGAGAAAGGGGAGAACCTCCCAACCTTCGTACTGTATTATGTATTGGCCAAAAAAATGAAATTATTTTGACTATTCGATTACTTTCCCTTTATTTAAGGCATTCCGAATATTATTCCTTAGAAAGCTAATCTGTGTTAAAACACAACCATTTTTGGAAGTTTACTATACTTCAGCAGTTACTGCAACTATGTTATTATAAACATTCATAGATATGCTCATAATATAAGTATAACGATTATAATAAACATGAATATGAACTGACCAAGCGGAACGAGAATGCAAATTATTAAGATCTTGATAGAAATTCAAACGTGGGTAGTATTTGGGTGGGAGGAAAAGAACGCCGAATGTACCGGAGTTTTCTACTGCTTTCGCAATTCTTTGACCAACAGAACAACGGGCACCTACCTGTCTGTACTCTCTGCGCACACCAAAGGTTATGTTAATGCAGAGAAAGGAGGAAAAGCTATTTCCGGGAGTATGATTCACCATCTGACATTCCATATTAGGAAGAAAAGTTGTTTATTTAGTTTCAGCTTTGGTACGGGGGGAAATTGCGCGTTCATTAAAAAAAAAAAAAAAAAAAAAAGCACTAAAAGCAAAAAAAAAATAAGCACTAAAAACAAAAAAATAAGGGCTTTAAAGAAAATGTAAGCATCTATAAGGGCCTTTATATTTTATTTTCAAATATAAGGACTTATAAGCACTTATTAGGACCGTTACGAACCCTGATAGTTTCTAAAGAACGCTACATTGCTATAGTATTTAAGTGATATCAATGAACAACCTCCACAATTGTTATATACATGGTTACAGTGTCACTTGGTCTGGCAATATCTACCAGTGCACCGAAGTCTTCACATGAAGGGACTGTA